TTTTTATACCGTTATTCGGAACCTTTTCATGACCCCAAAGGGTAGTCAGGTCTTGCATTGAATCGCGATTTGCTTGCAGCATTCAGAGCAAAAAATATTATATGAAGAAATTTTAAGAATTGGTATTGCATGGAAATATGAATTTATTAGCTACATTGTCTTAGAGACAACTCATAGGAAACATTACGAAACTAAAAAAGTTTAATACCTCTAAATGTATCGAAATGTACCTATTGACGTTTAAGAGAAATCGTGGATAAACAAACATACATACCGATTGCGACATTTTGCAGACGTAATTAAAATCATCAAAAATAAATAAATAAAAATGTGTTCATTGGCAACAATTCATTATAATGTGTAAGATTTGGAAAAGTAAAAAAATACCTGTGTCAGGGTTCCCGGCTATTCCATAACAAACTTAATAGTTAATAGTTACTACATATCTACATATCTAACACAGACACAGTGCACGATCATAACAACTTTCAGCTACACTCTCAAATACATGCGCATACAAACCCATTGACACACTCACTCATTCACTTAATTTGTAACATTAAATTTATTATTATTATTATTTTTACTTTTTTTAACTGTTTCAAACATGTACCACGTAATAATTGTTTTCTAGTTACCCACAACACAGGGCCTCCCTAGTGTGGGGACTAGCGATATATGAATTCTGTCACAACCCTTTTGTCATAAATAATTTTTTTTTATTATTATTATTATTAACTGCATAAAAATATAAAATATCATTATATATTTTTTTATTTATTTTAGTTGTTTCAGTTCAACCATCATACTCAAATTTTATCTCCCAACTATATCACATATACGTACATACAAATTAATCTTTAAGACGGTTTATAAAAGGCTTTGAGGTACCTGATTTGAATTGCTTCTGGCTATTCCTCACAACCACTAGGTTCCAGTGCTCTTTGACAACTATTTACTTTGTCTGACAAATATTATAATTATGTATATGTTTTTTTCGGTTTCTTTAAGTTTAGTTAAAGTAAAATGATTTCATTTAGCCGATTGAACTGTATTCGTTTAATATTCTTGGAAATGACCTAGAGAAAATCCGTGGTATTACCCACTAATTTTACATTACCTATTCATAGGAGCGTGGAGATGACGGGCTCATTTCCTCTTGAAATATTTCCTTATATTTAGGATGTTTTTAATTTTTAAAAAGCCTTAAAATGAAGCCTCAATCTACTTTGATGGTCATGATTAGAAAAATCCATTAAAAATTATCAAATGCCAAATAGACCGCCTCTGCGGCTTATTGGTTAAGTAACAAATTTTCAACGTAAGTAACAAACTTTCGGCTCTGTCAACTAGATGGCGTTAATAAAGCGACATTTCAATAGACTCTAATCATAAATCACATAGTTATCTGTCAACTCGACGTGGCAGTCTCTCGCTGATTAATTTCCTGAAAAGCACTCGAAATATCGATGTGAATAACATAATAAATTTGCCTTTATTTGCTTTAAACAAATTCTGGTAACAGTTTTGAATACCATCGCACTTTTTTGACGATACTAATTATTTAGGAGTCTCGGAGGACCTTCATTGGAACACCTCCAAGTGAGTTTTGCTCCGGAAACGCGTCAAAAATTTTATAAAGATTTATAAAGTAAACTTTGCACTGTAAAACTAATTACCGCTAGTCTAGCATAAACCACATTCAAAATGGCCGATTAAGTTTATAAAATTAATAGGGATGTGAAAAATAATCGATTTTTTTAAAAGTGAAAATCGATTTTTGTATTCGATTTTAATATTAAAAATAATTGAAAATTCGGCGACCAAATATTCATATACTAACTCTAACCTAACCAATCTAAATAATATTTTTTTTTGTGGACAGCTCCGATCTAAATAGTAATTGTTTATTCAAGCCTCGGCTGCTCGGCGTCCTGGTCGCCTTCGGCGACCAAATATTCATATACTAACTCTATCCTAACCAATCTAAATAATATTTTTTTTTGTGGACAGCTCCGATCTAAATAGTAATTGTTTATTCAAGCCTCGGCTTCTCGGCGACCAAATATTCATATACTAACTCTAACCTAACCAATCTAAATAATATTTTTTTTTGTGGACAGCTCCGATCTAAATAGTAATTGTTTATCAAGCCTCGGCTTCTGGCGCCTGAGTGCCTTCGGCGACCAAAATTCTATACTAACTCTAACCCCCAACCTAATAATATTTTTTTTTTTGTGGACAGCTCCGATCTAAATAGTAATTGTTTATTCAAGCCTCGGCTTCTCGGCGTCCTGGTCGCCTTCGGCGACCAAATATTCATATACTAACTCTAACCTAACCAATCTAAATAATATTTTTTTTTGTGGACAGCTCCGATCTAAATAGTAATTGTTTATTCAAGCCTCGGCTTCTCGGCGTCCTGGTCGCCTTCGGCGACCAAATATTCATATACTAACTCTAACCTAACCAATCTAAATAATATTTGTTTTTGTGGACAGCTCCGATCTAAATAGTAATTGTTTATTCAAGCCTCGGCTTCTCGGCGACCAAATATTCATATACTAACTCTATCCTAACCAATCCCAATAATATTTTTTTGTGGACAGCTCCGATCTAAATAGTAATTGTTTATTCAAGCCTCGGCTTCTCGGCGACCAAATATTCATATACTAACTCTAACCTAACCAATCTAAATAATATTTGTTTTTGGACGGCTCGGCGCTGGCAGCGCGCACGGGTGGGAAATGCAGCCCCTCCACCCTTGCGTACCAAAGCACAGGCATTTATTCAAGCCTCCGCAACCTGTTTTGTCGCCTTCGGGACCAGCCTCAGCCGCTACAGCTTCATAATGCCTGTGCTTTGTTACAGCGGGTGGGGTGCTCTCTCTCCGCGCCTCCGATTATTTATATACACTCTAGGGGTAAGACAGACAAGACCACGTGGATAGTGGGGTGCTCTGATTCGGTTTTGGGTACTTTTTGGATATTAAAGTAAACACTTTATTCTAGTAAAAATTAAATAATATAGAAAGTTGCAAACAATGAAATACAAGTACTAATTAGAAAATACAGACGAGTAGGTATCGATAATTTCAAAAAATTTCGGAACCCTATAATCTATCAACACGAAATTAGGTTAATTTCAATGTTGATTATTCTATAACTTTAAATTTCAAAAATGAGGAAATAATCGATAAATAAATAAAACGATTATTAACAATCGATAAATTAAAAACACGATTTTTTTAAGTGAACGTCACATCACTTATAACCGATAGAAAAGTAGAAAATGGCGGATTGTTTACAAATTTTAATACATTACACAAAACTTTAAATTTTTTATAAAAATATTTAGACGCGTTTCCGGAGCAAAACTCACTTGGAGGTGTTCCAATGAAGGTCCCCCGGACACTCCTAGATAATTAGTATCGTCAAAAAAGTGCGGTGGTATTTAACACCCAACCCCAAATTCTATTTAAATGTGTAAAACTCCTGAACGTCTCGGAAAAATAAGCAGTGTATTTATGACAGTATATTTTAGTTTTCCATTACATTATGATAAGTCCCGAACAGCGAACCTGTCAGCTTGTATCACCGACCAATTTCAGTTGAGTGTGTGCGACAAACTGGCAAAGTTGTCACTGACAGGTGTCTATGGCGCTGAGGCGAGGTTATTGTAATTCGAACCATAAGCAATTTATAATAATCACATTATAAATCTCTTATCAAAGATATACACAAAATCGTGATCATTATGCGGTATGTAATAACGCTAGTATATACATTAACTAATAATTTAATTAAATATGTATTCAAAATAGTGTATCTATACTCATAGGTAACATAGAGTAGCGGTTGTAGGGGGTAAATTCTGGATCTTTAGAACCGATTTTGAAAATATTTTTTTTTTTAAGCCGCATTATTTGTGAGTGTTGATAAATACATATTAATTATTAACCCAAAATTTCAAAAGAACTTCGTTGTAGTTCGATTTGCAAAAGTAAATCTGAAAAAAAATGGTCAAATGAAAACGTTTCTTACGAACGCTGCCTTAAAGATAAGAGTATATCTCTTTTTGAGTTCTATAGAAAAGTTATAGCTTGATAAAATAGTTTTTGGCTGCGTTGATCTGTCTGTTCGCAATAAACTCAACTACCGTGGAATTTATCGTGGCTTTGTCCTGTATGTAGAATGATTCAAGAAGGTTTAAGTATATATTTTTTTAAGTTTACGGGTCACTGGCGCCCATACAAAGCTGGGGCAGGTCGCCCTCAGTAACCATTGTAAATAACGTTACGACGTTGGCTTATGTAAATAATAAGAAATAGCGTTTATATAGTATGCAAATAGCTAGTGTAATTAAAATTCATTATAATTTTACTAGGACCCGACAGACATTGTCCTGCTCACACGTCTTAAATACAAAAAAAAACAGTGGATTGTAAATCTAAACTCTTCTATAATAATCCACTTACACACACAAAAATGTCTCCAAAATCCGTCCAATCAGGAGGAGTTAAATTACAATCACATGCACAGATGATTTTTATATTCTTTTATGATAGGAGGCAAACGTGCATTTTGAATAAAGTGATAACCATCGCCAATGGACACCTGTAACGCCGGGGCTACCTGGTGTGTTGCCGATCTTTCAGAGAATTGTACGCTCGTTTCTTGAAGGCCTACGAAACTTATAAAATACTTCTACTGTCAGCTGGTTCGACAAAGAGGTGGTGCGCGGCAGAAAGTACTTTAAAAATATAAATGATGCTCCCCATGATAAATGCGGTAGAAATTACCGAGGGAACCAATATCTCTACGCGAAGCCAAATCAGAAACAGCTTGGTCATCGACAATGCGAGCCGCCCTGCGTTGGATTCGATCAATTGAAGGAGATATATTATATGTATAAAGATATAATCGATTAACAAGAAAACAATAAATTACATTGAAATATTTAATAGGGCACTGTTTACTCTTTTAAACTAAGTGTTATGCTTAATGTCTGTGGAACCGGTGATGCCGTGGTCCGCCTCGAGATGCTTGCGCCTGAAAAGTACATTAACATCAGTGATGGAGACACTAGCAACTTCATTCATATATTTATTTACTTTGTTTCTTACAACTTAAATATGAAAGCAACGCTTTACCACTTTCAAGTGATCTCTTATCAAAGTACCTTTATAAGGATGTAGTTTTATGATCCTAGCCCCATCGATATCTTTAATATTTTTTTAGAATGACAAGCGTGTGTCTAAGATGCCAGTTTACTCACGATGTTTTCCGTTAGGAGCTAATTGCGCACATCAACAAAACATTGGTATTATATCCAGTTCGAACCGATATATAATAATCAAATATTTAGGGACTTTTACATAATAACATGCATGCATACATGCATACATTTTACTTTTTTCTGTAGATTTTACTTTATTTTAGTTGTCAGGTGTTATATGTTATTTTGAGTTTTTGTTAATTATTTATGCACTTTTACTTTACCCTCTGTAGGTGTTTCTTTGTTTATTGTTCGTTATTAGGGTTGCCTAGAAGAAATCGCTTTTTAGCGATAAGACCGCCCGTTGCCTAATAACTTATGTTACCTGCTTTTTTTATATGTATGTTTTTGTATAAGGTAACGAAGTGTTAATAAATATAAAAAATGTGATGGACACCAGGTAGGAACGAAGTTCCATCGCCTAATGTAGAAACGACACAATTTGCAAAAAAAATCGTGGTCCTTTTTATGTAGGTTTTCTTAATTGTTCTCTTAAATTATGCTGATTAGTTTTTATTTAAGAATAGGAAAGTATTTAGGAAATAATAAATTACGTAAAATAAAGAAAAATCGTAATTCAAATCATCAACTAAAATAACAAAATATGTCTCTTTATTTTTGTTTGACAACATAAAATTACATAGAAATAGAAATATTTACAAAAAAAGTTTATTATTATTATAAGAAAAGAAAGAGGGAGAAAGAGAAAGGTATTATACACTACTCGCTTGTGTATAGGACTGTCGCGCCTGCGCACGTCTCATTTAATGGATCGTGGAATAAAAATTCCACGGACTTTTTCTTACGGTTTTACTATCACATTTTTTTTCATTTCGGTCGTCAGCAAAATCCCTATCTCCTCCAAGCCTGCCGTAAGGAACTTCGTTCCAATAAAAATGTAGTACTTTTGGAGGTCAAGAGAATTTTGCGTCGCAGATGAAGAGGTGATTATGACTTTTGAAACTAATATTCTATACAACTTACATCCTCATTTTCTTCAGTCGCTTCTGTGACTACGTTGACAAATGCATCAGGAACTGGGAACTTATTTATTGTGTCTGGGTGAGGCCAGGTGTCATCATTGCCTTGATCAACATCTACGTCAGCATCTCGCCTTCTCGCTGGTCCTGAAATAAATTTCTGGTACAGCGCCATCTAGAGTTTGGGACTCAAAATTAACAAAAAGTCATATCAATACTTACTGATATAATTGCTTATATTGATTTCGAATGTCTAACCATAGTTCCATTTCGGAGGAGGTTATCTATCTATCTAAATTATCTCTCGAATGATTGCTAATTTGCGTCTTAGGAAATAATAGGAAACTTTCGAAAGACAATTTAGACTAATATAAAGTATGACAGTGTAATTTTAGCACCATCAAAGTGTGTATGTAATAGTGTAGATTTAAAAAAAGACAACTACAATAATAATTATTTTTTAAAACGCTAACAAAAATAAGAATATGCAGGCTTTCTTTTAATGTTTCATGTTTGTATTTAAATGTGTATTGTATATTTATTTAAGAGTATTTTAAATAGCTAAAAGCTAAATAGCTATCCATCGTAATATATCACGCCATTTACCTAAAGTCTGTCAAGTAAATGTGAACGTAACCCACAAAATTATCACCTCAAGGGTACTGTACCTTTGATGTATTAAAGGACACAGCCATCAATTTCAATTTCTTGACACCTATATACCACAATTTATCTACCCTCTTTTTATACAATTTCTTATTCAAAAAGTATTTAACTATTTCTTGGTGTAAGTTAGCTAATCAATTTTCCCCCAAAATGACCTCTTTCACTGACAGTTTTTAAGATCTAACATTTCCAAAAAGAAATTCTATGAGTATAATAACTCAACTCATTTATGTCTCTCGCTTTTAATATCTCATATTTATAGTCTATAATAATTCTGTTAGCAATAGTTCTTAAGTAAAAACCATGCCGTATTTGTTTCTTGATGGGTGTAAAATTAGTTTTTATTGTTTTAACAAACGTACTTCTTGTATAATTTTTACTGAGATGAAACGTTTTCATGATAACAATCGTTTATTTTAAGCTCGGTGTTAAATATTTAGTTTCACAAAAAAAAAATATAAGAAAAAATTACTGAAACTGGTAAACCGAAGTTTATGAATGACCAGTCAATTGTCAAAATTTCTGTCGTATTGTCAAATTCATGGGTAAATTTTTGTATACCTCGTCTCTTATTTTAAACTGACATACTACGTTACATATATAAACCTATATAGAATATTTTACAATATCTTACCTATTGTAAATCCCGGATTAAAAGAGCCACTTAAATTAAATCCAACCTAAAAATGCAAATATCTCTCCTCGCACATTTTCATATTAAAGCAATTACCATATCTAGGTAGCGCTTAATCGATATTTAGTTAAAGTATATGTTAATTATTTAAAAAATATGTTATTCAATTCAATTCTAAACTAGACTAAAAAATGTTGAAAGATAGATAGTACCCGAATTCTTCTTAGGTTTTTACTGAATATGGACATAAAATTTTTTTCTATATAAACTCGGTCAAACCGTTTCGGAGGAGTTCAAGATAAAAATAAATTCTGGAGAACACTTAGGGGTTTAACGATATAGTAGCCGATTTTCGTGAATAAAAAAAAAAAAAAAAAAAAAAGGGGAAAGCGGTTTTGGGGGGGGTTGGGGAACAACGAACGAGAATTTTATATATTAGATAGAAGTTACGGTTTTATTCTCAGAATATTGTTGTTACAACTCGACTACGAATAGAAAAGGTCTCATCTATAAAGATTTGATAGTCTAGTTTAGTAACTTACTAATTTTAGTTTGGTGACATAAATTTAAAAAAAATCTCCTTTACCAGAAAGCGCCTTTTCTTACCTGATTGTACGAAACAAATGAATGCACAAAGCACTGCTGTCACAACAAGGGCCTTCATTGTCAACTTGAACTAAATTTTATAAAAATATCCGACTATTTATAATGATTTTTACCGGATACAGTAGAGATAAGAACTAATTATTTATCAGTTTACGTCTGTAATTGCGGCTTGTTAACTAGTAACAATTTGCGGGAAAATAGGCAAAAGAAAAGGAAAATGCAACTAAAATGAAAGCTTATTTTTTTAATTTTTTGTATGAAAAAGAAAAAAAATTAAAAGTTTAAAAAAAAAAAATTAAAAATTTTGAGTCGGAGAAACTGTATCCCTATAAGTAATTTATTCAGAATGGCATTAGTAAATTTTTGTTTCAAAACAAGACTTAACCGTAAAATTGGTTGTGTAATAAATTCCTGAAAAACATCCTAACATACAAAATTGTGTTAATGAAAAAGTTCTTAAAAGAAATTCCATAGTTTCCGTAAAAGCTTTTGGTTGATGATTTATTTGCTTTGACCAAAATAACACGTGTTTCTACACGTATATTGTTTGTTAGTATTCGGGTTTCTAAGAAACTAGTCTTATAATGAAACATAAATCAAAGTTCGCCCCGGATTAGATACCGACGTAACCATGGCAACAAATACGATAATAACTTTATTGTATCTTCCATTATAAGGCCGGGCACATAATAGTTCATTATGAATTCCTAGTTGAACAAAAATTAATTATTTGTAATTGGATTTTTTGTATGTTAGTATCAAACCCCTTTAAAAATGTGTCAAAAGGTTCTCTACCTTTTGACACATTTTTAAAGGGCCAACAAGAAACAATATACAGCTATTTGAGGTGTATAAAATGTGTTAAGTGTTGAAGCTTGAATCAATACGAATAACAATGAAAATAGGCGAGAAGTTTCGCCAGATTAATTATATTGCGCTGAAATCCGTACACCTCACAAGGAAAAATTTACTTGCATATATTCCTGCAAATCAAATAGTTTTTGGATAATTTAAAATAAACCATGAAACATTTGCATTAATGAAATTCAAGTGTAATTAATTCGGCTAATTTATATAAATTTCAATTAAAGACCATCAAGAAGCGGATTATTGAAATTATAATTAAATTTCTTCTATAGCTGAGCCGAGTGGATCGTTATGGAACTTTGGTCACTTAAAATTATTTGGGAATATTAAACCCTGCTGCGGCTTGGTGACGTAGTATGCTGTATGGCTAAGCTAAAGTTCTAAGCTCTTTTAAATTAAGTTTTCATAATCATAATATTTATGTACATTCATAAACCTAATAAGTAGCGAAACAAAAAGATTTAATTACGTAATATTTCAAGTCGCCAAGGTGGATAAGGCCGGTATCATATATGAAATATTGGGTTTGATTTCCAGCGAAGTATTTTTTCGGTTTCGCAATACCTAAAATAAGCAAATTACCTATCTGTTGACAACGAAATAATTTTCTTATAATCATTCGTATTCTAAAAGATTAAGATGCCAATTAAAAGTGAAATAATTTATATATAATTTAGAATATTTAAGTACTTCCTGTACATATCTAGAACCGGAATATATAATCACATTACGCAAATATCTCGAGACAATTGTCAAGTTTCATGTTTATTATTTACATTGTCACACCGCGTAAGCAGTTTGTACTAACGATGTGCAAACATGAGGTTTTTGACAAGGGATAATGGTGTTTGAATAGATTCTATAAGGGCAAGTCATAATAACGAAACCTTCGTTCCTGACCTAATATGATTCAGCACTAAGTAGCCTTACCTTACATACTATAACACCGTAACGATCATAGTGTGTGTATAAGTTGAGCCGTAATTCATGGATATCTGTTAAGACAAAAGATCACGATGCCTTAAAAATATACCAAAGAAACAAATGCGCCAAGCCCATTTATAGGGTGTACCAATATAAATTCACTATGATCTAAATATTTATAAAAGTTATTACTTATAATTAGCATGATCATTATTATTTTCGAACAAATTTGACTTAGCGTACCAATTCTTAAATTCTCAGAAACGCACTCGCGAATATTCTGGCATTGTGAGCGTTCATGGGCGGAGTTCATGTGGGTCTCCTGCCTGTTTTCTGCCCCAGAACTATAAAAAATACAGTTTTTAAACAGGCTTAAGTATTCTGTTTCAATTGGATTACCTGAGCAATTTTATTTGCAGTAAAAGGGTGACTTATTCAGGCTTTTACGATTGTGTATACAACCTTTTGCGATAATGTTTGATCATTTAAGCAAAGTGATTTGTAGTAAATTGCTATTTACAAAGTCAATTCCCGCATGTAAACACTATAAATAATTGTATAGTAACTTACGTTGCAATTAAATTTGTTTGATAAAAATTGCTATAGGACAAATACTAATAATATACACATTGTTTTGCAAACATTTTCCATATTTGACTTATTTATATGTTATAAAGAATAGAAACACATAATAAAAAAAGGATGTTTAGTGAAAAAAAGAACTAACCCACCAGGATTCCCTGTGTAGTGGGAAGCTAGTCTCCTTCATTTGACATATTAATGATTTTAGGTTCTACGTAACACTTACAATTTTATTATTAAACTTTTACACAAGAAGAAAACTTTCCATTTCAGCATAGGATAAGTTGAGAAGATGTTCCTTAAGATTGTTGAGAATGAATGTTTTGATTGATAGTGAAAATTTTGTGAGATTACAGAAGCGATATAGTATGTATATCCTTTTTGCTCAAGAATTTTAATTTATTTGTTCAACACCGTAATATTGGCTTATTCTAGAAGGATGATGTGTATGTATTAAATGAATAAATAATTAACAGGTTCAAATATCTAACGATAAAAGTCTCTGCTCCCCAAACAAGACAACGAAACCTTCACCGAACTAGCCTATTTCTTCATTTCTCGATTAGTTTCTCAGTCTGGTCTCTCAGTCTATAACGATGTAATGACAGTGGTTTGCGCTTTCCTATCAATATTCCGAGATAGGAATTCTTGACACTCCATTCATTGTACAGCGGAGTCTTTGGATGCCGCGTCGGCTTCAAATACCTAACTAAAAATTAATCGCCTTTATTACAAGAAAACTGTATCTTTTAACTAAGTTTTTCCTTATAGAATTGTACATAGCTTTATGACTTAATTTAAAAATTATATACCCTATAAGTATTGCATCTCCAATTTATCAAATCAATGTACACTTGTACAATTATGATCGTCAAAAAGAAATACGTATTAAATGC